ATTAAAAAAAAAAAAAAAAAAAAAAAATTTAAAAACTTGAACAACTGACTTTTGGTTTCTCTTTTTCCTCCAGACAAATCACGTGGGAGGTAGAAGTTTTTCTTCCATAACTAGTGCAAGATTAGCCCTGCTTTTTTGTGTGTCTGCCTGTAACTCTCAACTGGCTTAAATCAATACTACTAACATTAACTGCTGCTTCAAGCAATTCTTGTGTATGGTCTCTATATATTAAGGTGGGTAACGGTGACATTCTTAACTATGTTGCAGCTGATAGGTATTCTGATGATGAAAGAAATTTGTGAGTAAAAGACTACAAGTGCATTATAAAACTGTGTTTTCAGGAGACAGGGTGTTCAATGTGAATAGAAATAGCGTGCTATGAAAGGTAACTTTTTCCACACCTTTCTCATGGCAGCATTCAAAATACATTTTGATCAAGTTATACAGTGCTGGTGACAGCAATGCTGCATATTCCTGTGGTAAAGCATACCAGTGTACTAACTTCACCATCTCTTTATGTGGCATGCTCTGAATGCCTGCTGATGCAAGAACAATTCTTTCCTACACCTTATCGAACATAGATCCTGCCGTGTTGCTAGGTCAGTGTTTGCTGTTTTGCATTTCTGGGCTCTTTCTTTCCTCTCCCCTAAGCAGTACTTTGAAATCTCCCACTTTTTGGTGTGCATCCTTTTTCCCTACAGAAAGTCTTCTGTGAATCTCCTTTCTTCCCTAAGTGGTCTGGCAGCTATTTTCAAAAGCTGTCAAGGGTTCCTTTTCCAGAGGACTATGTTAAAACATGAATTATTCTGCTGTTTCTCTCTGCCTCTGCACACATCCTGTACCATACCCACCAACTCACACTGAATACCCCTTCTGCGTTTTCAGCTCTCAGTAACATCAGAATAAATACCCCTTCTGCATTGCAAGCTCTTAATAATATCGTCACCCTTTGTAGCTCAGGACCCACTTCTTGTTTCTCTGCATAGCCTAGTGGAAGCAGTGCTGATATCAGCTCACCCCAGAGTGGTTTTTCGCTTGTTCAGTCGTTCTTCTGTTTAGCTGTGTGATCAGGAGTGTGATGCCCATGCCCTCATGTAGCTGGACACAAGGGAGCAATGACTGTGCAGAAACGGGGGACAGGATGGAGCGAAAGCCCCATAGCTCTCGCCTGTTTGGACACTGTCATCCTTGAGTATGTGCTCGCTTGGTAAGTCCGCCTCTGCCACACCTCTCGCAGTTCTGAGGCCTAAACTTATGTCAAGGGCCTAAAGACCCAGGCTCTGAAACATATTTGAACCCACTGAGAGAGAAAACCTAAGGCGGGGAAGTAAAAGGAGAACCTCGCCCGCATAAAGTTAAAAGTAAAACCAACTTGTGATACTGAGCACTTAGTTTAGTGATATAACAGTTACGGCTCCTCATTATTAAAATAAGAGGGAAGGGGAGAAGACGGCGCATTTGAGTAAAAGATAAGACCCAACCAAGGGCTTATCTACCGAGACCATGCGGCAACAAAAGCATAAAGGACGCGGACTGGAGGAGGCTCTTCGGAGCTCCCTCTCAGCTGGGCTGAGATCCCTGAACCGTCTGTGACCACCGGCTTGATCCTTTTCAACAGGTTGTATTACCCTCCCTGTGTATGTAGTTGTCGTGTTATGTGTTACTGTTTCGTGAACCTATATGCTTGCTTAAGGATTCTGGCTCTCATAATAAACTGTCACCATATAGTACCCGCCTGACTGTGGAGTCTGAGTAGTGGTCGTTTCCCCCCCCCTTCTTTTGGTACTATATGGTGCATGACAAGGAGGAAAGCAGCACTGTAAGCAGACAGCGGCAGCAGACAGAAATGACAGCGTTCTTCAGTTGTAGATGTTGGGCATGTTTTGAAACAGTTCTGCCGCTCACAAAGTTGTAAGTCGTCTTTCACTTGAAACATTGAGATTCAGATTAGTCTGTTCCTTGCGTTTCTTTAAAATTCCAGGTTGCCCAGCATTTTCACCAGTGACACTGTTTTCAAACAAAAGGGTACGTTCAGCTTAGGTTTACGTACCTGAAACACTCTATGGAGTTAGGGGGGAATTCATTTGTGAGAGAGAAAATTTTGGCCCAAGGGCCTTTATCTCATGAACATCAGCCAGAATAGGTTTCATCAAAATAAATACAACAGCGTTAGTTTTCCATTTAAACCTTCTCAGACAGAGAAAGGGGAAGGAGGTATTGTCTAGATTTCTGATTAGCTAATTACTCTTGTGACAAGTATTTGCGTAAACCTTCACAAGGTGATAGCTCACTTATACTGCAGGGACCTGTTCGTGAGAACAGAGAGCGTTACCATTCTCACTTCAGCAAGCTGCATGTCTCATGACTTTATTCTTAGGGTTTCTTGCCTTCCTAAATAAAATAGCAATTAGCTTTTTAATTACTAGTATAGCAATGGAACCAAAGTGGATTGCTGCGGGTGTTTGAGAAACAGCCAATTAACTACTTCAGCTTCTGGATTTACGTAACCTTGTGTCTTTTTGCAGTAGCTGCTTAATGTTATCGTTTCAATGGAATGCCACTAAAGGAGTGGCATTGTTTATGGAGCTGATATTGTCTACACATGCTGGCAGATAGAAAAGGCTGACTGACAGCTGGAGAACGATGACAAAGGTTGTCTGTTTTAATCCCTCTGCCGTGAACTTCTCTCTTGTGGAATTAGCACAGTTGCAGTTCTGTGGATGCATTAACAAAAAACGTAGGCAGAATGATGAATGGCCTCTTGTGATTGCTTGTCTTCACCCTGCATTTTCTTCTGAATCATGCTCTTTGCATGAAATAAGTCATATAAACAAATGTGCCTGTTATTAACACAGCTTTGCCTTCATCTGTCAGAAATACTATCACCAGCTGTAACCTTAAATATTGCCTGTTAACATAGATTGAAATTATTTTCTTTGTTACGTAAAACCTCATTTTCCCCATCTTCATTAGTATATAACTGTTTTCGGACATCAGTGAGAATTTATAATGTAGCAATTTTCAAATTAATTAGAAAGGATGGGGGATCCTTTCTAATTCTAAGGTGCAGGGATTGTCAAGGACACTTCTGAGCAGAATTTCTTCCACCTATGCCATTTTTCTATTATGCTTGATTTGAAGCTCTACGTGGAGATGGTAAGAGTAGAATGGAGGATCAATACTGATGCGCTCCAGTTTCTTTTCTGTTGCGGGGAGCTGACCGCTAGGCTTCCAAGGAGGATTGGGAGCTTTTGAGGTCACAACTTTACTATAGTAAGGAGCAGGGAAAACTCAGCTAGTAGTGTTTCTCCTGCAGTGATCAGGCTACAAGAAAGAATCAGGGGTGGGGCCTATGCTTGGCAGCAGTCATTTGTCCTGTGGGTAGCTGACACTTGGAAGCCTGGACCCCTGCAAACTCCTCTTCTGCCCTCCAAAAAAAAATGGAACTTGAGTTGCTTTTCATTAAACAATTAATCTACAGTTTCAAGCTCTCCTACCTGTACACCAGCTTTTCTTTTCCATTCAAAGTTTTCTTGTAGAGAATTGTCACTTTAGCTCCCTCCTTTAAAGATTAAAATAGTTACCTGTGTCAGAGAGTATTTCTGATATTGCCGGGGCCACTGATAGACTGTTTTCACAAACTCATTTTCCTTTGGCTTTGATGGGACTGGGCCTATTTAGAGTCAGTTTTTGTTTCTCATCTGAAAGGCAGAAAGTTCTTAAACTGCTCCAACCTGATCACTTGTAACTGTAACTTAAATGATACAGAAGCTCACAGCTAGCATCACTAGCATCCTTTTATTTTCCTCCAACGTTTGGATGGAGAATGAATATATAGCATGCTTGGTTTTTTGCTTTTATCTTAGCTTTAATAATGCTAATATACTCTGTTATACTTGTGCTGTTTTCATACACTGAAATTACAAAAATGTTTGCATGGTAAAATCTCATGGGAAGGGATTTTGACTGTTGCTGTAAAGCAAGTTGTTCCATTGGTAAAGTCCCTACAGTCTGATTTCCTTTGAGTTTTGTGATCTTTGCCTTACTTTTCCTTTTTCTTTGCTCAGTAACTGCAGCTGACCCGCTTTTGACTCCCTGAGTGCTGCTGATGAGTAGGAGGGAGCCGGGCTGTGGCTGACCTTCAGGGATGCTTGCAAATTGACTGGTGAGCAAGGGCACACGCCAGCTGGCTGGTGCGCTGCTCTCAGAGAACAAAAAGGCTGATGGAGGTCTCTTTTGCTTTCCCCTGCAGGTGGATAGGTTAGTCTGATCAGCTCTAGATTTGTTAGTTCTCCAAACTGCATTAACTTTATGACTGCCCTTTCAAATTGAGTTGGAGTTGGCAAAGGGACTCACAAGTTGCTGGTGCAGACTGACTGCAAACACAACTGCATAAGCCCTGGTTCCCCAGCAAACCAGGCGGGTGATAAATAAGTCGCAAAATGAGCTTGTGTGTGCCCAGAAGTCTGAGAGATTCTTGGTTCCAGTTCTACATTTTGGATCCATTTTGACCAGAGTCCATCTAAGAGAGAAGACTTCTGTGTAACCAGAGTGGTTGAAGAGTCTGGAGATTGCTCTGTAAAGCTGAAATCAACAGCTCACTTATGCTGGGATTTCAAAATTTACAGCTGTATTATGTTGGTGGATGAAAAACGTTTTCCTTCAAGGAGTTTTATAAATGTATGGCATGTGATAAATTTCTCAACAAATGGAAAATAGATTATTTTCTCAACTAGCACTTCTGAGATATTCTGTAAAATACCTAAACTGAAAAAGTGGTTTTTGAAAGTGGTATTTATTAAAACTGAATATTTGAATGGTAAAAGTCTAGCTAGGTGAGCTTGAAACCCTAATATTCAATTGTGATGTCTTTGGTTTGGAAATGTAAGAAATGAGTGGCAATGCTTCTAAAGCCTCTGCCTCTATAATGTTTGGAAAACTTTCTCATGTGCTATCAGTTTTAAAGGCCAG